CCCCGTGGATACTTCTACCTCTGCAGTCATTCTGGACTTTATTAATAAAGTAAGTTTCCAACCTCAAAAACAGAGCTTTAGAAAGCATTATGAAAACTCTTCCTGAGACCATTAATGTGTCAGTAAAAGCACTTGACAGTGTTTTTCAGTAGTAAATCTTTGGAGTCATAATCCCATGAATGAGCACTTTATTAAAGACCTCAAGTTTTTTACTGCCCATATTTTTTTAATAATTTGTATTATTTTGGCAGGAACTTGATCCCAAAGTGAATGTGTTTCACAAGTCTGAACAACATTGCATCATCAGTCATTTACAAGTAAAGACACATATAAAAGAGGAGTAAGTTTTGTATTTTTAATGTGCTTTTGCAATACATTGTCATTTCCTACTGCTCATCTCCAGAAACGCACTTTTATAGACAAACTCAATTCTTCATAATTTTCAAGGCTTGATAATTTGATAACTACTATCTATAATCAAATTAAAATCATTCATTCACTGAGGAAATTTGCATAGCTACTTATTTTTATTGTTCCACTGACAAATAGTATTTGGCACCAGACTTGTATGGAGGAAGTAGCTGTGAATATACATGTAAAGGGGATTACTGATAAAAGCACAACAACATAATGACCAGGGTTCAAGTCACTTTGCCAGTTAATAGCTGTGCATACTTGAGCAAAGTACATAACCTCTCTGAGCACTTAGCAAAATGACTATGCTAATGGCAAGTGATTGATAAATGGTGACTATTATACTAATGATTGCTGATAGTACTAACATAAAAAGTCTGAGAGTCTTAAACTTCACTAAGAAGGTTTACTTATAGGTAGAATATTGAAAGTGTAATTTTGAAATAATTTTATGTATATTGTAAGACAAATCAAATGAGTAAATATTATTATTAATATCCAAAAGATACTAATATAAAGTTAAAAGATATTAATTTATTAATAAATTAATTTTTATTTTTAAAATTAATTAATTTTAATTAAAAGTAATATTCTAATTAACTCTAGAATATTACTTTAATTAAAAATACCAGTATTAATTTATTACTAAAAAAAGTATTTCTAGCTCTGTCCACTGAAAGCAATGACACCCCAATAGTAATGAGCACACCTAAAGCCTGAATCTTGGTTTCTAAGCACCATTCCCCAGTAAAAGGAGCCAAAGCTCCATAGAGAATAGGCTGCTTTTAGTTCTGTGGTCTGAAAATTGTAAGTGAGCCTAAGATATCATCTTCTGTCAAAAGGCAAGGAAGCATTGAAAGACTAAAGGAGTCAGGTTATGAGGTCACAGAGACCATCTTGTAGGGACTCGTCCTGGCCAAACATGGAGGATTGGAAAGCCAAAAGGAGAATAATTGATTATAACATAGTAAGTGTCAATAAATAAAAATCCATGTGTCCATAGAATTGAAAACAAAAAGCTTTTCTTTACATAAGAATGTCAACTAATAAGTAGAAGGAAGGGTGAAATTAGAATATTACCACTTTGCCACCCCTGATGTAAGTTAATCCAGAAAAGGATCAATGGATGATAACATCACTAGGTCAACTTGATGCAGAACAGAAATAACCTGCCAATGATCACCCCACAGATACCTTACTTAACTGAAGGAAAAAAAATGTACCTTTACACTAAAGAGCTGGGCAATCAAACTTAGTTTCAGCAACAACAGAAAAATCTAACACTGTCTGCTTCTAATGCAATGCAATATGAAATGTACAACTTTGTTTTGGTTTTGTTTGTTTGTTTTTACAACTTTATTTTGTTTTTTTTTGTTTGTTTGTTTGTTTTGCGTTACGCAGGCCTCTCACTGTTGTGGCCTCTCCCGTTGCGGAGCACAGGCTCCGGACGCACAGGCCCAGTGGCCGTGGCTCACGGGCCCAGCCACTCCGCGGCATGTGGGATCTTCCCGGACCGGGTCACGAACCCGTGTCCCCTGCATCGGCAGGCGGACTCTCAACCACTGCGCCACCTGGGAAGCCCTGAAGTATACGACTTTAGCTTTGAAATATTCTTGCCAGAAAGGTTTAACCTGGGAACTTCCCTGGTGGCACAGTGGTTAAGAATCCGCCTACCAATGGAGGGGACACAGGTTCAATCCCTGGTCCAGGAAGATGCCACAGAGCAACTAAGCCCGTGCACCACAATTACTGAGCCTGCGCTCTAGAGCCCATGAGCCACAACTACTGAAGCCCGCGTGCCTAGAACCTGTGCTCTGCAACAAGAGAAGCCACCGCGATGAGAAGCCCACTCACCACAACAAAGAGTAGCCCCCGCTCGCCGCAGCTAGAGAAAGCCCATGTGCAGCAACGAAGGCCCAACGCAGCCAAAAATAAATAAATTAATTAATTAATTAATTAATTTTAAAAAAGGTTTAACCTGAATCCAATACAGCCCCTAGGTATAGGGCATAGATGAGCAAGTTAAATAACACCTTGAAGAAACAATCAGACCACTGCTCTGTACTCTGTACTCTGTATAAGTCAATGATATGTTTTGAAAAACTATAAAAGGCTAAACATAACAAATAAATGCAATGAATGAACCTAGACTGAGCCCCAATTTGGGGAAGAAAACAGCTATAAAAGACATTCTTGTAGAAAATGATGAAATTTGAATGTCAATATTAGATGGTTATTGATTAGCTATTGCGGTGTAACAAATTAGCCCAAACTTAGTGGCTTAACACAACAAACATTTATTATCTCACAGCACTATGGGCCAGAAATCTGGGACTGAGTTAGCTGGGTGTTTCTGACTCAAGGTCTCTCAGAAGGTTCTAGTCAAGCTGTTGACCAGGGCTACTTTCACCTCAAGATCATCTGAAGGAGGATTCACTTCCAAGCTCACTCACATGGTAGCGGATAGGCCTCGGTTCCTGGGCACCTGGGCCAGGCAACTGGCTACCTGAGGGCCCCACCACATGACAGCTGGTGTTCCTCAAAAGCAACGATGCAAGGGAATTCAAGAGAGTGTATCTAAGACAAAAGCCACAGTGTTTTCATAACCCAATCTCATAAGTGAGATCCCACCACTTCTGACGTATTCCACTCACTGGAAGTGAGTCAATTCATCCAGCCCACAAGGGGAGGGGGATTAAATTCCACCTCTTAAGAAGTACAAAAACCATGTGGGTCTGATAACCTCCAAGGATGATATTGTGGCATTATTGTTGACTTTTAGATGTGATAATGGTATTGTGATTATGTACGGTAATGTCCTTATTCTTAGAATATATATGCTGCTGTAGTCAGAAGCAATACATACGATGTCTAAACCTATTTTGTGTGTGTGTGTGTGTGTGTGTGTATGCAAAGTAATAAAGCAAATACAGCAAAATGCTAACAACTGTTGCACTTGGGTGGGTAATAAATGGATGTTCATTGTATTCCTGTCTATACATGTTTGAAAATTTCTGTAAGAAAAATTTGGAGAAAAATAATTGAGTTACTTGAATTGTGTCCGCTCAAAATTCATATGTTGAAGCCCTAGCATCCAACGTGATGGTGTCTGGAGATGGGACCACTGAGAGGTAATTACATTTAGATGAGGTCACTAAATGTCATTACCTCCCAGCCTCCAGAACTACGAGAAATAAATGTCTGTTTTTTAAGCCACCCAGTGTATGGCATTTTATTATAATAGCCGAAGCAGACTAAGACAAGGTGCTCAAATGATTGAAGTGACTTGATAACAGTGATAAAATTTTTACTCATTTCACAAAGTTAATGTGACAGAAGAAGAAATCCAGTGGTAAGAAGGGCTTTTGATACAGAGAACTGGGGGGAAATAGAAATTATTATCATTGCTGTGGATCACTTTCATATTCCAACTTCTCATATTACCTCAGCTTGGCAGTGAAGTCACTGTAGACCTGGAAGACCTAAGAGATGATCCCACAAAGATGGCTCCTTCTACTGCATCCCGCCAACTCCAGAACCCCCGTCACAGCCTGTGGGACACCACTGAACCTTCACCCTTCATGGAGCCTCTCTTTTTCAGCATTAGTCATTCCTTAATTTTAAACTCCATCTCCTTTACTCTTCAACTTTCTCTTACGTATTTTATTAACTGATTGCACTAGCTCACTTTTGCTTTTGGAAATTAATTGTTATTATTAATCCCATAATTAGTTTCCTTGACACAAAATTTTTTAAATATAATTAAAGGATTATATAGTGTTAAAAAAATACCGTATTAATTCCCATGCTCAAACAGACTCCAGCTAATTTAAAAGGTAAAGCAATTCATCGGATAAATAAAAGTTTGGAATTAAGAGTCACTTCCCTTTGGCAATATCTCTCAAAAATTACAAACCCCATATCCTTTGACCCAGCAAGTCTACTTCTAGGATTTTTGTCTTGCTGATATAGTCTCACATATGAGAACTGACAGATTATTCATAGCAGCCTTGTGTATAATAGTGTGTAGTGTCTTACCAATTTTTTAAAAAGTAAATAAAAAGAAAAACATAGAGGTGCAGAGTATGTTGCCATTTGTGTTAAAAATAAATAAAAATAAACATATGCATATATATATGTAGAAGATTTCTAGAAAGGTATATAAGCAATTGTTAACAGGTTGCCTCTAGAGAGACCAACTCGGTGGCTGGGGGGGAGGGACTGGGGGATAACTTCTCATCACATTCCCCTGTGTCCATTTAGAATTTTGTATCTTGTGAATGCATTACCTATTTGTTCAAAAATTAATTTAAAATTTCTGTAATCCTTACAGTTTAACCAAATAAGACATATTAGCTACAAACTTTTTACTTTTAAGTGTTCTGTATTTCTTTTTTTCTAATTAGAAAGAAACTGTATCCAATGGCCAGATCAGGTCACTGACTCCCGTGGTGCCCCAGACCTCCTGCTGAGAGGAGCCTTTGAAATCGCAGTCAATAACACTAGTGCGCTCATCCACATCTGGTTTTCAATTTCTGCTTCATAAACATGATCACAGATGCACACACACGCTCCACATATTGTACCTGGTTCAGCTTCTCTTTCTCTTCAACGCAGGAGGCAGCTTTTTTCTGCTCTCTGTTTACTTCTGAAGCCAGCCTCATGATTGTTTCTCTGCTAGCTTTTGCCTCCATCTCATGGACATTTTTAGTCTCTTCAAGAGTAACGATTTGTCCTTTCACGAATGCGTTTGCCTTGCACAGCTCTCCAAGCTGAAGAGAAAGCAATTACAGCTGTCCCGTAAAAATTAATAATTTCATACCACTCTAAGCAATTCTGATCTATAAACCCCAATGATCTCATTATCACATGACAACAGGGAAAGAGCTATCCCTCCATCCACTCAAAAGATAACTTTTTCAAAGGCAGCCCCTAAATGCTCTTGTTATGTGCAGACCCAGTGGTCAAATTAAAATTAATCAAAAGGTAGCTACAAGGCAACAAGGATGAGAGTTCAGCCAAAAGCTTCCAGACAGAACAAGCATCAACGAGCCCCTGGCTGCGGAATACTCAAGGGCCGGTGATGTCCCTACAGTTACGGCAGGCAAGGAAGCAAGGCGCTCTATTCAGCCCACATCCACTGGCACCAACTGCCTGCAGGGCGTTACCTGGCACAGGGTGGGGACACACAGAGAAGAAAGCAGGACTCTCTTTTTCAAAAAGAAAATCCTTCTTGTTAATATAAGCATAGAAAAATCCTGAATAACATGCTCGAACAATGTATTCAAGGGGTTGGCTGGGAGAATAAGACTTGTATGATTTATAAGGAGGGAAAATAAAACCAACCAGCCTCCTTGGCCCCAGGGAAACAGCCACGCAGACAGCTCAAGGATGTCTGTCGAAAGACCCAAAACTCCTCATGACAGGGTCAGCATTTGCGTTAGGACAATCAGGGAAAGTGACATATCTTTTAGCCTCAGCAATTTGCCAACATGGTGCCCTGCTCCTGACTCAGTGCTATTCCCTCTCTCGTGAACACTTTTCCTCATATTTGTACACTTCCTCTCCAACCTCCTTTTCAAGGTCCCCATCTCAGAGGGGCACTCCTCGGCCGGTCTACCTAAAGTAGCACCCCATGCCTCTAACCTGCTTCACTCTCTTTCCCCATATCCCGATTTGTTTTTCTTCTTTGCACCTTTTACTACATGGGATAATACTGGATATTTGTTTATTTCCTCAGCATCTTTAACCACAACAATGGAAGCTCTAGGAGGGCACAGACTCAGTCTTGTCTCATTCACTGCTGTGTCCCAGCACCCAGAACAGTGTCTAGCACACTATAATCACTCACTAAACGTATGGGAAATGGATGAATGAATTGCCAAATAAGGAATCCCTTCTTTTCTACTGTTTCCTTAGAGTGTGTGTGTACATGTGGTTACAAGGGCTTTAAAAGTAAGGGAATGGCTTTGAAATTGCAGTGGTTTCGTTCACCTTCTCAGGGTAACACCCAGTGAGTGTTCAAGACAGTAGCCTTTTTGCTCTTGGCCAGGGAGATTGTTGGTTGTTTTTTTTTTAAGACAGGGACCTCCTCAGGCGATTGGGATGCTAAAACTCTAGGGTCTCAGGATCTGTTTAAAAATACAGGTTATATTATCATTCAGGTATGGTGAGGCCAACGGATCAGGAGACATTGTAACTGTGTTACTCACAGTTTCTGAGAGGAAGGGGCACACCATGCCGTGCAGGGCCACCCAGGGAGCACCAGGGCTGGTCAGGAGACAGAGAGAGCCAGGGGAAAACATGCTTCCCACGGGAAGGAATGGGTGAGGCAGGGTAAGCAAGCTAGTCTGACTAATTTCAGTGGGTTCTGGAGTGTAGGAGCCATCTCTAGTTGTCTGGCACCTGACCCTGGGGTGATTAGTTGTATAGTGGCCAGAGTATAAAAGCCTGATAGAGGAAGTGGCTGGGGTATGGGCTGTGTATTGATTGGTTTGCATATGAAAGCTGTGCACCCAGGAGAGTCATTTACTAGGAACTGGCTGATCCTGGGACCCAGTCTTTCCTGGGTCAGCAAGGTCCCAGATGTCAAAGCATTCGAAGTACAGAATATAAAAAGGCGAGATTAATACAGTATTAACACCCAAATTAGCACCTGGAGATTGTCTCTGATGAGGGAAAGGGTACCTGAAAGAAGGAGCTTCTTAATTTCCTTTTCTTTTCCCCACCACTTGGCTTTAAAGATAACCCCCCAAACTACAATGTGAAGTGGACTTTTATTGCCAGGCTCCTGGTCACATGTTACAGAGGGGGAGCTGAATACAGCACGTTGAGGATAGCAGACAGACCCCAGGCCTGAGCAACCAAAACCCATGAGTGAGGTGGAATTTCCTGAAGCGAAGTGTTACATTTCGCAGCTCTCACAGAGTTCACGTGGGAGGCTTACTAATAACCCACTGAGGGGAGGCCTTTAAGAACGGCTGCATCGGGCTTCCCTGGTGGCGCAGTGGTTGAGAATCTGCCTGCCAATGCAGGGGACACGGGTTCGAGCCCTGGTCTGGGAAGATCTCACATGCCGCGGAGCAACTAGGCCCGTGAGCCACAACTACTGAGCCTGCGCGTCTGGAGCCTGTGCTCCACAACAAGAGAGGCCGCGATAGTGAGGCCCGCGCACCGTGATGAAGAGTGGCCCCCGCTTGCCACAACTAGAGAAAGCCCTCGCACAGAAACGAAGACCCAACACAGCCAAAAATTAATTAATTAATTAATTAATTAAAAAAATACGGGAGTCCATGTATTTAAAAAAGAATGGCTGCATCCCCAGTGGTCACTGCAGTGCTGTTTACAATAGCCAAGACATGGAAGCAACCTAAATGTCCATCAACAAATGAACAGATAAAGAAGATGCAGTACATATACACAATGGAATAATACTCAGCCATAGAAAAGAATGAAATAATGCCATTTGCAGCAACATGGATGGACTTAGAGATTATGATACTAAGTGACGTAAGCCAGACAGAGAAAGAAAAATATCATATGCTATCGCTTATATGTGGAATCTAAACAAAAATTATCCAAATGAACTTACGTACAAAACAGAAATAGACCCACAGACATAGAGAACAAACTTATGGTAACCAAAGGGGGAAGGGGGGGAGGGATAACTTAGGAGTCTGACACTAACATATACACACTACTATATATAAAATAGACAACCAACAAGAATCTACTTCACAGCACAGGGAACTATACTCAATAATTTATAATAACTTATAAGGGAAAAGAATCTGAAAAAGACTATATATATATAATACATATATATATATATATTACTGAATCATATGTATATGAATCATTTTGCTGTACACCTGAAACTAACACAACAGTGTAAATCAACTATACTTCCATTTAAATAAATAAATAAATATTTTTTTAAAAAAAGAATGGCTGCATGGAAATCTATCAGGAAGCAAGGATATGAAAGGTTTATAAATGAGCAAAGATATGGTGTCCATTCAAATAGCTTCAGGCTCTCTAATGAATCACTACAGTCCAGGTAGTGATATAATTAATTTCCATCTCAATGGCAACCTACCATTAAAGTAGGATTTTTATTTATTTGGCTTTAGTGTAAAATTAAAAAGTACTTTAGAGATAATCTTAACCTTATGCTCAAAAAGTATCCAAAAAATGACACACAGCTGGTTTTGGTTTTGGTTGTGAGTGTGTATGTGTTTCTATCTGTAACTAAAACAAACAAAAATCTTCCTAAAACAAATCATTAAAATGAATAATTCGTTGTATTTGACAACCTAAATACATTTTAGACAAAACAATCAATTCCTTCTGGAGAATAATTAATCTCAAATAATGCTAGAAAGGATCTTGGAATTGAGGCTCAGAGAGGTGATATGTTTTTTCCCAGGTCACACAATTAATGCTGTACTAGGGCTCCTGTCCTGTTCTCCTGCACCCCCAGACTCAACCACAGCTCTTCCTTTATGGCACACTTCAGAATGACCACTAAATGTATAGTCTTTTTAATCTTCATACAAATACCTTTAGAATTAAATCTTCATCTGATGCCTTTTCATTCTTCTTCCCTGGATCTAAGCAGTCATGAAGTTAAGCCAGAAATTCCTCATGTTTCCTGCAATTCTGTGAGACTTGATCCTTATTCTCCTTGTTTTCCTTTAAACATTTTCTGTCGGGCAAATAACAAATAGGTCAAGTTTTAACACCAAAGAAGATAACATTCATCAAAGTTCAGAACTCAAGCTCTCTGTCGGGAAATAACCAATAATCATTTCAACACAACACAGTTTCCCAGACACAGAGCACGATATCGTCTTGCAAGCCCAGTTAAAGAGGGAGAGAAGTGGAAACAACACTGGGGCACGTACACTCTGCAGAAATGTAGGGAGATCTTTACGGCATGTTAGCAAGGGAGACAGATCTGCCTCCTGTTCCTGACATTTTAGGATCTGCAGAAGTGGAAGGTGGTTCTCTAGATCACACATGGATCCACTCAGCCATGAGTCTCTGTTGTGGCTTCGTGGGAAAGAAAGAGAGTGATGCTACATTGGGTCTAGAGACCATGCTTTGGTCACTACACAATGATCCATAAGGGTTACTTAGAGCTTTCCCTGGCTCATGGCCAAGCATAACTATAATCAAAAATACATCAGAAGCAGGGGATGTGCCCACCCCTGGAAAAGAGAGGTGTTCAATCATCAGCAAAGATCACTATTAGTTTTTGCACATCCAGAATTTTTAAAGAATATTGGAATGGGCCAATCAAGGAAAATCAGTCAATTTATGCTCTGCTGTGAATATTTTATTTCAAATCTCAGATAGGTTTGCTAAAATAGCATCGTCTATTTCTAATTCTTTAAATGTTAAAAACTAAGAGATCATAAAAAACAGACATATTTTAAAGGCAAATTAGGATCATTTCAATAATTTGGCATCATTTTTTAGTACCCTAGATAATAAACATGATTATTGCTTTCCCTTTTTACCATGTTGAGTGTTTACTGCAATTCTTTCACGCTATTCAAAGATTAACAAAGCATGTAATTGCATATACTCAAAAGCATATCATATTTCTATTTAGAAAAAATGTATAACAATAAAAGACCAACATCAATATATCTCTAAGTTCTTATTTTCAGCATATGAAAGGTAATATTTATTCAGTCTCTCTCACTCATTTAAGTCATAGTTAATGCTATGGCTCTGATTTATTTATGTATATGATTCTATATATTTACGCTAAGATTTCAGTCTTACTTCTGTTCCAGGAGTTTCTAAATTATTTCCACTTCTATTTGCATTTCACTTTAACCCAACAAAGTCCCAGGCGTCTGTCATAAAGACATAATCACATAAATGTGAAAATATGAATGCACATGGGTACTCACTGCATCTTAGTTTATAATAATTTTTTGACTGGAACTAACCTAAGTGTCTAAAGTTAAGAGCAAAAAGAACCTGTTAAGTAAATTATGATATTAACAGGCAATGGAATATCACTGGCCATTAAAAATGATACAATGAAAGACTTTTTAAGTATTTACAACATAGTATTCAGGAAAAATAGTTCCCTACATGATGCCGTTTATGTACAACTGTCTGAAGATCTATTCAACAAAATGTTAGCTATAGCATTTCTGGAATCATAAGGTTGTGAGTAATTTTAATTTTGGGGGGCACTTTACTATATCTTTAAAAACTTTCTTATAATGAATATATATCATTTTATTACTCAGTTGTTTAATAAATATTTATTGGGCACTTACTATGCTACTTACTATGCTTAAAGGTGCTAAAGATACAGTAGTAAACAAAACAGATAAACATCCCTCATAGGGCTTACATTCTAGTTGGGAAGATGGACAATAATCAAAACATAAATGTATGTAAAATGTATAGTATATTATAAAAGGGCTGGAGACAAAAACAATTAAGCAGGAAAGGGAGTAAGAAACATTTGGGAGGAGTGGGGTGAAATTTTAGATGTAGTCGCTAAGATCAGGTTAGTGGCAATGGGAAGTTGTCAAAATTTAGATTTATTTGGACGGCAGAGACAGATGATGAGATTTACTGAAGGATCAAGGAAAGAGAAACAAGGATGATCCAAGATTTTGGCCCTGATCAACTAGAAGAATGGAATTATCATTAAACGAGATTAGGAAAAGCACAGGAGGATTTTATGGAAACACCAGGAGGTATTTTGGACATGCTCCGTTTGAGATGCCTGTTAGACATCCGCATGGAGATGCCCAGTAAGTCGTAAGATATGTGGGTCTTTAAAAAAAAAAAAAAAAAAAAAAAAAGATATGTGGGTCTTGAGCGCTGGGAGGAGGTCCAGGCTAGATCTAGAAACTACATGCTCGTGGGGGGTCACGAGCATGTAGATCATACTTTAAGTCATGAGACTGGATGAGAGTGAATTTAGATAGAAAGGAGAAGAGAGTCAAGGACTGAGTGAGCCCTGGGGCACTCCAGTACTTGGAAGTCAAGGAGATGAGGAGGACAAAGCAAGAGACTATGACAGAGAGGCTAGAAAGGTAAGATCAAAAGCAGGGGGGCTTCCCTGGTGGCGCAGTGGTTGAGAGTCCGCCTGCCGATGCAGGGAACACAGGTTCGTGCCCCAGTCCAGGAAGATCCCACATGCCGCGGAGCGGCTGGGCCCGTGAGCCATGGCCGCTGAGCCTGCGCGTCCGGAGCCTGTGCTCCGCAACGGGAGAGGCCACAACAGTGAGAGGCCCGCGTACTAAAAAAAAAAAAAAAAGCAGGCACGCGCAGTGTCCTGGAAGCTAAAACAAGAAAGTGGTTCAGGGAGAAAAGCCAACTGTTGGCTCATACTGGAAGGTCAAGTAAGATAGGACTGATCATTGAATTTGCAATGCGCGGTCACTGGTCACCTTAATGAGTGGCTTCAGTGGAGTAGATCTGAGAAAGGAGAGAAATTGGTACAGTGAGTACATATAAACATGTTCCAGGAGTTTGGCAGTACATGGAAGGAGAGAAAGAGGACAGGAGCTGGAAGCATTGGGTTTTTGTTTTTATAAGATGAAATAAGTAAAACAAGTATCAAGTATTTTATTAGTAAAGTGATTTAAGTTATTATACACAGAATTTTTAAAGTGTATCTTAAGAACAGGTAGCTCCCAATTTTATCTCAATAATCACCTTGTGTCAGAACTAAGGGTAGAAAACCTAGATTTCCTGAGCTCTCTGCATAAACTGGCAATAAACCCTAATGAGGAGTGTTCAGGGTGGTCTGGGGTGTTTTGGGTTTCCGGGGTATTTTTATAACTAGCTTCTGAATAAACCCTTCCCCCTGTGCACTATTCCTCCACCTCCACTTAAACCTCTACTTAGAGGAAATCTTCCAAATTGTATATATCTAAGAATTTGCAACCCTAATCAATAGGGCATAAACATGCTTAGGACAACGCCATGACATTTAGAAATGAGCTTGGAAAAAATTTTCAAGAGTCCAAAGATACGTGAGGTCAATGATTTTTTTTTTTTTCAAAAATGCAGGGGACACGGGTTCGAGCCCTAGTCCGGGAAGACTCCACATGCCGCAAAGCAACTAAGCCCATGCACCACAACTACTGAGCCTGAACTCTAGAGCCCGTGAGCCACAACTACTGAGCCTGCCTGCCACAACTACTGAAGCCCATGCACCTAGAGCCCTGCTCGGCAACAAGAGAAGTCACGGAAATGAGAAGCCTGCGCACAGCAACAAAGAGTAGCCCCCCTCACCGGAACTAGAGAAAGCCTGCACAGAGCAGCGAAGACCCAATGCAGCCAAAAATAAATTAATAAATTTATTTTTTAAAGTTAAAAAAAAAAAGAAATTAGTATTTTAACACTAGCTCCACTGAGAAGTATATTGAAATATCCTCACTGCAATTTCTCGTCCAGTTCTACAACTTTCTTCTTTAACTCCTGGTTCTCCTTGATTGCAGACTGAGCTGTGATTTTTAGTTCTAATTTTAGAAGTGGAGAGTGCCGCTGATTCTTATTCTAGCTCCTGAACTCTGTCTCTCAAAGAGGTGAGGAGAGACGATTCTCTGGCATTGTTTTCTCCGTAGTTCTCCATTTCAGCTTTCAACTCTTGACAGGAAACTCCTTTGGAAAGCATCTTGGATCGCAGTTCTCGAAGCTAACATGGAAAAGAAGTAAAAGAGGGAAAAGAAGTAAAAGAGGGAAAAGATGTCAATGGTATAAGTTGGAAGTACCTTGAAAAAAACCCAAAGTCATAACTTAAAATTTCAATCTTTTATTCATGACTTCATCTGACTTTACTTTTTTTTTCTTCATATTTGTTTCCACATTATCAGCTGGGAAATTATGCCTTCAATAGGGGACTTCATAGTCTGTCTTTTTCAAAAAACAATTGAGCAATGTCTTGTGGTAATTGAGTCTCACTCAAGAGACATGTGTTGTGTATTTTGCAAAAAGCAATAAAATATTTTGCAATGAGAATTCATTTTCTAAATCTGTATTACTGCTATTGCTGCTCACGATGAAACAAGGAAGCTGCAAGGTAGGCTGTTTGTAATTTCATGGCCATAGCTGTTTCCCAAGTCAATACGGACTATGCGATATATCACAGCATTTCTCCCCCTGGCCTTATGGACCCTTACTGTGGCTGATAAAGAAAAATAATACTCGGATTTCTGGAAAAAATATAGGAGAAAAGGAAAAATCATTATAGGATTTATACTAAGGAAACGTTTTAACTTTTATGAATTCTGTGGCATCAAAATGCTGAACACAGTATGTGCCTTATTAAGCTACCAGATCCACTCCCATTAGAAAACTTTATGAATGCATCTATTTTTTTGGAAATGTAAGTATGCATGCATACACATACACACACACACACACACACACACACACACAATCAACTCATCTTTCAGTGGGATCCTGGCAGCCTAGTGAGACTGCTAGTTACCTCACAGGCAAGCCTAGGATTCCTTGGGGCCATCAGGCTATAAGTGCAGTGAGTCTAGAGAGAATCTCCCAGAAACTCCACAATAGACCTGATCCAGGTCAGAGGGTAAATGGATCCCAATCATCTTCCTAGAATTTCCCCCAGACAATCAGAACCACAAGAAAGGGATTCAGATTTCCAACCCCAGAGCTTCAGATTGCAAGCAATCCACATTAAAGGCAGCTACTCCCAGGGATGCTTACAGCCATCCAAAGCCCACACAGCCCAAACCCGAAGTCCCCAGGTGTCCCCAGGTGCTCTCGAGGATGTAGAGCTCCCCTGAGATCCAGAATCCTGCCCACGTCACCCTGCTTTGCATCACGGCAAATGCACAGCCTTTCAGGAGTTCTCCACAGCTAGAGGGTAGGGGCACAATAAGAGAATAACCGTAAACTTTGCCAAAAAGTTTAAAACTGTTTCCCTTTGTCCTACTTCTAATCACCTCTATACTCTGCTTCACTCCATAAGAAGCTAACAAGGCCATTTGTGAGTTATGAAGACGCAGACTCTCACCTCAGACTGAGCAGATTCAAATTTGACCAGAGTTGCTGCAAGTTCACTCCGGGCAGCCTCGGCCACATTCCGATAGTGGTTTAACTGCTCCCGAGTAACTGTGACTTCCAAGAGATGATTATAAGTTTCCTGATAGGGTTCCCCAAAAGACAAAATATACAAAGGAGAGTTAAACAATCTTTTCCATGCAGCTGTGCAAAGCAAGATTAAGTACAGAAGCATTCTTTGTAGTCCAAATATGTTGGAAAGGCTGCCCAGAGATGTGTTTGGTTCAGATTATTTCATTCTCCTTCTCAAAATTTTAAGGGAAGCAGGAGGCAGCCCAGGAACGAATGATAGGCTCCCCCAGGATGGTAGTGGAGTTTGACTTTTAAGAGTTAGTATGTCCCCTTGGGGGACTTCCCTGGTGGTCCAGTGGGTAAGACTCCACACTCCCAATGTAGGGGGCTGGGATTTAATCCCTCGTCAGGGAACTAGATCCTGCATGCTGCAACAAAGATCCCACATGCCACAACAAAGACCTGGCACAGCCAAAAATAAATACATAAATAAAATAAAATATTAAAAAAAAAAAAAGATTTGGGCTTTGACACTTTACAGAGTTTCCTTCCGCCCAACTCCAATGTTATTTGACCTCTGACCAGAACAGATAGCATCAACAAAGAACCACCAGAAGAGATGGCTAACAGGAGGCAGTTTTTATTGTTCTTCTATTTCCAGACTACAAAGATTATCAACTCATCTCTGGTCTGTTGAATAAGTGTTTCAGGTGTTTATCAAAGAGACCCTGTGATTCAAGTATAGAAGTCTGTCTCCTTCATAATTATCCACTATGCCATTTATTCTCAATCTCATAGCCTATCTTGGTTTTTTGTTTTTGTTTATTTATTTATTTTTGGCTGCGTTGGGTCTTCGTTGCTGCACGCCGGCTTTCTCTAGTTGCGGTGAGCGGCGGCTACTCTTGGTTGTGGTGAGTGGGCTTCTCATTGCGGTGGCTTCTCCTATTGCAGAGCTCAAGGGCTCTAGAGCGCAGGCTCAGTTGTTGTGGCGCACGGGCTTAGTTGCTCCACGGCATGTGGGATGTTCCCGGACCAGGGCTCGAACCCGTGTCCCCTGCATTGGCAGGCAGACTCTTAACCACTGCGCCGCCAGGAAAGCCCTATCTTGGGGTTTTGAAGGTTACTCAGATGAATGCCTGAGGCCAGAGATAGTGGTCATGCCTGGAGTCCTTCTCCATCCAGAAGGGAACAACTCCCAGCTCCACTGACGGCTGCCAATGCAGAAATATGGATCCCAGCATGGCCTCATTACTCTAATTTTTCAAGACAAGTCCTATATTTGGGCTTTTTGAAGTAAAAATTCCCAGTTTTTCCCTCTGGGTAATTAATTTAAATTAAAAAAAAACACCATATGATCCCAATAAACACATCTGCAGAGCAGATTTGATGGGTTTGGGCTGTGGGTCAGTATGTAACCTCTGGTTCTGCTTCTGTCCGATTCATGCCATAACACCCGCTTTCTGAAAGAATTATTCCAGAGTTTGGACAGATACCCACCTCTATGAAGTTTCCAGGGCCTGGGGTCTTTGTGAAAGACATACAAGAAAGCCATTCATTTTTGAAGGAATATGAAAGAGGTCACATAAAGGAGGGTTTCCCTGGAATATCTAGTGTCCTCGGGGGACACACCAGTAAAACCTGTTTATGATTCTGCCCGGCTACTGAACTGCCAAAGACTACTGTTTGGAAATACTCATGAATGCAAAGTCATCTTAAAGCCCTGAACTTCACAACAAGCGTTGTCATGACTAGTGTGTTTCAATCCACAAAATGCTAAACAAAACCTTCAGCGCACTTAGTAACAGCCAGTGTTTGTCAATTACAACATATGCAAGAAGATGGTAGGCATGTACTCCTGGGGAGAAAGCATAAAACAATTAACTGCATCTGTTAAGAGAACCACATCCTGTTCAGCCTCACCCAGCATTCAGAAGGAACTTTTCCACCCTAAACACTCCAGCAATATTTTCCAGAATAAGCCATGTGAGGACCTAGGTCACCTACAAGAGGTCTGAGCTACAGCACGTATGGACCATTTTCTAAATTTCCTTAGGGAAATAAGTTTCTTAATGGCCATGATTATTTCTTTCATTGACTAACATGATTTTTTAGGACATGACAGAGTCATACTATAATTTTATATCTCTTTCTTATGAAAAAATAGTGTCCGTTGGATATAATATTAAGAGCCCCTGAGACAGTTCAGAAGTGGGCCTTTATTTGAGGAGGTTACAGTGTAATGCAGGACACCACCAAAAGCATTAGCGTCTTCACGTGCTCATGGGCGAAAGAAACCACATATTAAGATATTATTACCTTTGACACTGGAGCAGGGCCTACGTGAGGAGGACTCTTGATTACTGAGTTTAGAAGACAGGTGCTAGGATCTAAATCACCTTTCAAAGTCCAGCAGACTCGAGATTATTCAACAGCAAGTGTTTACAAAAAGCCTGTTCTGGGTCAGGCACTGAGCTTACAGTCTAATAAGAAAAAGAGCATTTATCAAACAACCACGCTGGTGATTGTGTAATTACAAACTGAAATAAATTCAAGCAAAGAAAGAAACAGACAACAAAGGAAAGTGACTTAAAATTAGGGAGGTGGAAGGAAAGATTTCCCTAAAGAAGTGATGATTAAATAGAAATTAAATAGGCAAGAGGTACTGAAACAGGAGCAACCCACATCTTTCAAATAGCCAGAAGTCCGAGCAAAGGTCCTGTGGCAGGAGTATGCCCTGTGTCATTAAGGATCAGAGAGAAGGCAGTGAGGCCTTCTGAGGGGTCAGAGCAGGTGAAGAATACTGGCAGCAGGGCTCGAAAGACAGCCCTGAGCCCATTGATATATTTTAGTACCTGACAGGGCTTCTTTTTAAAAATACTCCTCCTTGGCTATTCTTACGTGTTCATTTTACCATATGAAATTTAGAATCAGCTCATCAAATTCCAAAAATTCCTGTTGGTATTTTTATTGGGAGCATGTTAACTTTATAAATAAACTTAAAGAGAATTAACATCTCTTAAATGTTGAGCTTTCCAAATAAAATCATCTTTTTTCCATTTGTTCAGGAATTCTCATATGTCACATATGTAGCTGTGATGGTTAATTTTATGTGACAACTTGACTGGGCCACAGAGTGTCCAGATATTTGGTTTAAACATTATTCTGGTTGTGTCTGTGAGGATTTTCTGGATGAGATTAACATCTGAATCAGTAGACTGAATAAAGCAGATTGCCCTCCCCAATGTGGGTGGGCCTCATCCAATCCACTGAAGGCCTGTATAGAACAAAAAGCCTGAGTAAGGGAGAATCTGTTCTTTCTGCATGTTTTTGAGCTGGGACATCAATCTTCCCCTGCCTTTGGATTCAGACTCAGACTGGAATTTACACCTTCAGCTCTCCTGGGCCTCCAGCTGGCCTACTGCAGATCTTGGGAATTCTCAGCCTCCATTATTACTCAAGCCAATTCCCTGTCATATATATATATGTATATATATATGTATATATATATACACACACACACACACACACACATATACATACATATACATCCTACTGGTTCTGCTTCTCCAAAGAACCCTGACTGAGCCGCAGGGACACCTCTGTGTTGAGCTGGGCTCTGGAGTATACCACACTGACATAAATCATACCAATGTTTTCTTTTTTTTTTTTTCTGTTGCTATACCAATGTTTTCTTAAGCAAAAATAAACAAATGGGACCTAAACTTATAAGCTTTTACACAGGAAAGGAAACCATAAACAAAATGAAAGACAACCTATGGACTGGGAGAAAATATTTGCAATGTGACCGACAAGGGCTTAATTTCCAAAATATACAAACAGCTCCTACAACTCAATGACAAAAAATTAAACAACCCAATTAAAAAATGGGCAGAAGACCTAAACAGACATTTCTCCAAAGAAGACATACAGATGGCCAATAGGCACATGGAAAGATGCTCCACATTGCTAATTATTAGAGAAATGCAAATCAAAACTACAATGAGGTACCACTTCGCATCGGTCAGAATGGTCATCATCAAAAAGCCTACAAATAACAAAAGGTTGGAGAGGGTGTGGAGAAAAGGGAACCCTCCTACCTGTTGATGGGAATGTAAATTGGTACAGTCACTATGGAAAATACTCAGTAGTATCAAGGTTCCTTCAAAAAAAAAAAAAAAACTAAAAACAGAGTTGCCATATGGAGTATACCACAGAAATCCATTCCTTCAAGACACTCTGAGGTAGCTTGAAATGAGAAGAAATGCACAGCAGTAGCATGAGAGGATTACAAGGATAAGAAAAACAATATGAAAACTGAAAGAAGACATGAATTTATTTAGTTATGCCTACGCTTTTCCTCTTAGCCCTTCCTTGGCCGTCCCACAGATCCTTATGTAGTCTTCTTCATATTTGGCTTGGATTTCTTCTTTGACCTGAGTTGTTTTAAGGGCTTAGTTGTTTTTGTGGCTCTCTGTCCTCAGAATTTGTTACGATGTCTGTTTTATTGCACTGTGCTCAGACAACCCAACTGTATTCCAGGCTGACATTCACGGGTGTACACCAGTGGGGTGGACCAATGTCCATTCAGAACTGGGTCCATTCAGACTGGAAGGTTGTCCTTCTTATACCAGCCATTACACATTTTCACCATCATCCTTTTCTATATTATTTCTACTTCAGGGAATTTATCAAGGTTTTTGTGAATACTCAATTTTATGAACATCCAATGGGTATTTAAAAGGAAGGTATATTCTCTATCTTCTGAGCTTGAAATTCAATATGTATCAATTAGTTCTACTTTATTCATCATTTTAATTACGCATTTCTAGTCTCGTCTAATTTCTACGCTAATTTCTACTCTATCCTGGCTCGAGAGAGGTGAGCTAGAGCCTCCTATTACTACTATAATTCTCCATCACCTTGTAGCACTTGTATTCTTGCTGAATGAACACTGGTACTGCTTGACTTGGTGCAAAGATTCAGAAATTTCATATATTCTTTGTGAATTATACCACGTAGCACGGTAATGTGCCATTATTTGTCTGACCCTTTTTGCTCATAATTCAACTT